AAAAACATTTTAAAACAATACAATAATTAAAATTAAGAACAATTTTAACAAATATAAACTTATTTGTATTTCAATGGAAAGTATGGTCCTGCTTTTCGCTGATGAGATAAGATTGTTGTTGTTATTGCTTGCTTTCAAGTAGTTTCATACTTAGGTTGACCCTGTGCGAGGGCCAGGTAAATGACTTTGGAGGGCCGCATCCGGCCCCCGGGCCTTACTTTGAGGACCCCTGTCCTAAATTATAGCAAATCCCCATAAAAAGTACCTAGAGAATGATTATGGAGAAGCCTTCTCCATCTGTCAGGGGTTCTTTGAAGGTGATTTTTCTGCTTCTTGACAGACGGTTGGACTGGATTGCCCACGAGGTCTCTTCCAATTCTATGATTCATCAACTAAAATAAATATTTCTTCACTTTTTCAGGATGAAGATGTTCTTCAAGATGTTTGCAGGGAAATAATTGAAAAGTGGTCAGAGGCCCAAAATGCTCTGGCTGCTGAGAAAAAAGAAGGTATTTCATGCTATTTTGGCAGCACTTCAGTGACTGATGGGCACTTTCTTTGTGTTACTTATACATTCCTCATATGAAGCTTTAAGGGGTTTCTTCCCTTCCTTTGTTTTTTTTTCCTTTCTCTTAATTAAACTACTTACATCATGCATACTTGTGTATAAGTCACAAAACTTTTGACACCCTGAGTCAATTTATCCACAGACCAGAACTGGAAATGCTCTGTGCTCCTTGCAATTTTAGGTGTTTGAAGTGGAACCAAGTGGCGATGTCCATTTTTAATAGGGGCTTATGTAAGCCTCACCAAACTTGCAGAGAGATGATGATGATGATGATGATAATAATATATTTATACCCCTCTCCATCTCCCCCAGGGGCCACTCCCATCAATATAGTACATACATTATAAAACAAAAACATAATACCTGAAAATAAAATACATAAAATGCAAAAATCAATATAATAAAGAGAAACAACAACAGCATAAAAACAAACAATTAAAAACAAACGATTTCACTGGGCAGAACCACATTCAAGGATAAAATTTATGGAGCCTCATGATGCTTAAGTCCTCTTATGGGGAGAAGGGCGGGGTAGAACTGTACGAAATAAATAAATAATAAAATTAAGCAGGAAGCTCCTATTAAAAATGGCTGCCTCCGCTCCACCTCAAAAGCCTGAAATGGCTGGTGTGCCACATTCTTCAGGTGCTCTCACATTGCTGCTTAATGCCTCTCAGGCCTATAAAGAAGGCAGAGAAAGAGGGAGGCCAGGGAATGAGATGGAAGGGCTGCTTCTATACCCACCATGCCAAAAGGCTTCTCACCTCTACTACTTGTCATTTGATTTATCCACTGGTCAGAGCAAAAGCCATAATTTTGCTCCCAAAACAGTCTTCAACTTGTAGATGAGAATATTTTATACATGAGTACATAATGGTGCTTCTATCCTTGTTCTCTCACACTTCGATTCTCTATCACATTAATAAGCTGTAAGTTAGGGAACTACCAAAACAAGTAGTTAATTGGCGGATTTAGTGTTAATCTTGTTCTGTGTTGTACTTAATGGTATGTAACAATATTTACATCTTCTTTAAAGGGGGGGGGGAAGCTCTTCCCTTTTTGACAGTCTCTAAAACTTTGACAGAATAGCATCTCAGAGATGCACTGTATACTATCAGAGACTATATTTTGGACGTAGTATACTATCTTTTATCTAGACAAGGAGTTTATTTGGTCAAACAATGAGATGAACTGGGAGTTCTTATCTATTCTACTGTTGATTCTCATTATAACTCAGCTTTAGTCTAGATTTCAAAATAGCCATAGATGTCCCTCCCACAAAAACACAAGCAAAATATATTATCGAAGGCTTTCATGGCTGGAATCACTGGATTGTTGTAGGTTTTTTCGGGCTATATGACCATGTTTTAGAGGCATTCTCTCCTGACGTTTTGCCTGCATCTATGGCACCCATCATCAGAGGTACCTCACTACCTCTGAGGATGTTTGCAATAGATGCAGGCGAAACATCAAGAGAGAATGCCTCTCGAGCAGTGGTTCTCAACCTTCCTAATGCCGTGACCCCTTAATACAGTTCCTCATGTTGTGGTGACCCCCAAGCATAACATTACTTTCCTTGCTACTTCATAACTGTCATTTTGCTACTGTTATGAATCGTCATGTAAACATCTGATATGCAGGATGTATTTTCATTCACTGGACAAAATTTGGCACAAATACCCATTACAGCCAAATTTGAATACTAGTGGGATTGGGGGAGGGTATTGATTTTGTCATTTGGGAGTTGTAGTTGCTGGGATTTATAGTTCACCTACAATCAAAGAGCATCCTGAACTCCACCAATGATGGAATGGAACCAAACTTGGCACACAGAACTCCCATGACCAACAGAAAAGACTGGAGGGGTTTGATGGGCATTAACCTTGAGTTTTGGAGTTGTAGTTCACCTATATCCAGAGATCACTGTGGACTCAAAAAATGATAGATCTGGACCAAACTTGGCATGAAAACTCAATATACGCAAATGTGAGCACTAGTGGAGTTTCAGGAAAATAGACCATGACATATGGGAGTTGCAGTTGCTGGGATTTATAGTTTACCTACAATCAAAGAGCACTCTGAACCCCACCGACAGAATTGGGCCAAACGTCCCACACAGAACCCCCATGACCAACAGAAAATACTGTTTTATCATGGTCTTTGGTGACTGACCCCTCTGACACCCCCACGCGACCCCCCCCCCCGGTCCCGACCCGCAGGTTGAGAAACGCTGCTCTAGAACATGGCCACATAGCCCGAAAAAACCTACAACACAAGCAAAATAGCCTGAGGCAGCACTCTGAAGTTGGGCTGAAGCTAGGATGTGTAAGATGTGGGGTGATCCTCGATTTCTCTTGTTTACTTGCTCATGGACTAGTGCTTAGACATCCTTGTTCTGTTCCTTTCCTTCTCCAGATGAGGTGCAAGCCATTGCCAGCATCATTGAAAAGCAGGCACAGATTGTGGTGAAGCCAAAGGAGGTTTCCAAGGAAGACACACTGCAGAAGGCTGCCCTCTTGGCACAATATGCCAATGTGACTGATGAGGAAGAATATCCTTTCTATGTTGCAGGTTTTGTGATTCGTTAAATATAGATTATGTTCATCTCACTGGGGGGCCTGCAAAGGATTCCTGTTTATTTATAGACCACTCTTCTTCCCATGGACTCTGGGTTGATCTCAGTGGGCATGCTGATATTATTTTAGAGAAGCTGCCATTGCTTTAATGGTGCTCAGGTCCTACATGCAAAAGTCTTCATGGAATTGGAGCAAAGGTATGGATAGAATGAGTTCTCAAGGGAAATCAAGTCCTGAATCCTCCCCTAAATCAGAGAAAATTATTGTCCCACTTTTCTGCCAGCTAAGCATATTTTATTATTTTGAAACAGATAGTGTTTAATTATCTTGGAACAGGTATGATGACATCAGTGGTCCTTTGGAAGGCTGGTGGGCTAGGTAGGTGTTCTATATTAGGAGAGATGTGCTAATACTCAGTCACAGTACAAAGGACAGGAATGTTGTAGCCTATTAACTGGGATGGTTGGGAAAGAAAATTCCCTTTACTGATGTATTTGGGCTCGGCCTCTTGTAAGCCGCATCAAGTCCTTCGGGAGATGGTAGCGGGGTATAAATAAAGGTTTATTATTATTATTATTCAGAGGCAGTGTATATCTAATTGCCAGATTCTGGGAATAAGCAGAGGGTGAATATCTTCACCTTGTTCAATTTGATACCAAATGGAAAAAGAAGAATCAACAAGTATTTTAGAAAGCCCTGATATCCAAAATACCCAAACACCCTTAACTCAGTACACTGAATTAGATGCTCAAGATGATCCTGGAGCAGCGGCAGTGCTTGTCAGCTCTGAAAAAAGTATCCTTTTGAGACTTCTGTTTAGCAACGTGAGAAAGAGGATGTTGGGTCCTTTCAAGAGCAAAAAAGAGGGTTGGATAGAATCCTAAAAGGGGGGCTGGAAAATTTTTTTTTAAAGTTTCACTGCTTTTTGAATTGTGGAGTCCTCTTTCACACACACTGTTGTAGAAAACTTTGTTATATTTATCATTTATTTATTTACGACATTTATATGCCACCCTTCTCACCCTGAAGGGGACTCAGAGCGGCACACACACACATAGACACACACACACACAAACACACACATACATACAATATATTATTAGCATAGTACAAGATCAGTATTAAATATTACTATATTGTACTTTACCATTATATTGTAATATTATTAGTAATATTACATGTAATATAAACATATAATTATAATATGTTATTAGTATTATATTGCATTACATTATAATATTATAAATATATGTATATACAATATATTATATATGATATATTATATTACTAGAACAGCACAGGAGACAATATGGAATTTTCTTCTGCCCCCCGCCCTCTTAACTCTGCCCCAGACATATGCAAGAGACAAGATGGAACTGTCCTCTGGCCCCCTCTCTCTTGACTCTTATCCCTCCATGATAAGTTAAATTAGATGAGCAGCTATGCCTCACACAAGAAGGTATGCTGGTTGTGATCATTTATATAGCGCCTTCTGATTTGAAAACAGTGTATTTCTCCTCAGAACAATTTTAATAGGCTGAAGTAAGGGTACTCACCATTGAGCTGCTGCAGCCCTCCTCCACAGCCACTGCATTGTGGGTGGAGAGCAGGGGGGTCAGAATAGTGCTTGTGTTCCTGTACCTAATTAAGAATGATTAAGTGATTGACTGGGATCCTCCAGTGATTTTAATGGAAAAATGTCAACATGTCAAATATTATAATGTAATGCAAAATAATATTAATAATAATATGATATTATAATTATATATTTATATTACATGTAATGTTACTAATAATATTATGATACAGTGGTATGGTGTAATACCACAATGTTTAATGCTGATATTGTACTATGCTATTTATTTAGCGTGTCAGGAGCAACCAGACATTTGTATTACATTTTTAACAAACAGACAAAACACAAAGTTTGCAAGCTTGGTAGTTGATTAAATGTCCTTTGACTAGTATCTGGCCACTTGGAGTGCCTCTGGTGTTGCCACAAGGAGGTCCTCCATGGTGCATGTGGCAGGGCTCAGGTTGCATTGCAGCAGGTGGTCGGTGATTTGCTCTTCTCCACACTCGCATGTCGTAGATTCCACTTTGTAGCCCCATTGCTTAAGATTGGCTCTGCATCTCGTGGTGCCAGAGCGCAGTCTGTTCAGCGCCTTCCTATGCTAATAATATAATATATTGTATGTAATATATACCTTGTAAGCCACTCTGAGTCCCCTTTGGGGTGAGAAGGGCAGCATATAAATGTCGTAAATAAATAAATAAATAAACAATCTGTATCTAGCTATGGGGACATAACTAGAATCTTCTTCAATAATCTTGCTCTCCACCTGCCATGGAACATTTATTTATTTATTTAAAAGTTTTCTATATCGAAAAGTTATCGAAAAGTTTTCGATCTTCTCACCTACAAGAGGGACTCAGATCTGGTTCACAACATGTGCTCATATACAAAAATACAAACCACACAATGCATCATCATTACACAATTAAAAACATATTACAATACAATATCGTCATCATCACATTCACATAGCCACGTCGTCAAAACATTCCTGGTCATAATTCACAGTTATTCATTCTCCTTCCATGTGGACCAAAGTTGACTCAGTTATCAAAGGCCGCATTCCATAGCCAAGTCTTTGTTAGCTTCCTGAACGTCAGGAGGGAGGGAGCAGTTCTAATCTCCTGTGGGAGGGAGTTCCAAAGCTGGGGAGCCACCATCGAGAAAGCCCTGTCTCTCGTCCCCACCAACCGCGATTGTGACAGTGGTGGGATCGAGAGCAGCCCCCCCCCCCCGGAAGATCTTAAAGACCTTGATGGTTCGTAGGGGAGAATCCGTTCGGACAGGTAAACAGGGCCAGAGTCGTTTAGGGCTTTGTAGGTAAAAACCAGCACTTTGAATTGTGCTCGGAAGCTAATCGGCAGCCAGTGGAGCTGGCGTAACAGAGGGGTTGTATGCTCCCTGTACCCAGCCCCCGTTAGAAATCTGGCTGCCGAGCGTTGGACTAGCTGCAGCTTCCGGGCAGTCTTCAGAGGCAGCCCCACGTAGAGAGCGTTGCAGTAATCTAAACGGGATGTAACCAAAGCGTGGACCACCGTGGCCAAGTCAGACTTCCCAAGGTACGGGCGCAGCTGGCGCACAAGTTTTAGTTGTGCAAAAGCTCCCCTGACCACCGCTGAAACCTGGGGCTCCAGGCTCAGCGATGAACAGCTGTTGGGGGGACTGCAATGGTTAAATAGTAAGTCAGAGGGATGGGGCTTTGGTCAATGTAAAGAGTTGATAAGAATACCAACTACAACAAAAAAAAGATATGGGGTATAACGTGGTCCTGTGGCTATATATGTCCCTTTCAAGATGCCAGCCTCTTTGTATGTGTTCTCCATTGTCCTCAACTCTCTCCCAGCTTTGTTCAAAAACACCAACCTAGAAGACTTGGTGAATGCCCGGAAATTAGAAAGGGAGCACCAGCGGGATGAGTCACAGCGTAAGAAAGAACAAGATAAACTCCAGCGGGAGAAGGACAAATTGACAAAGCAAGAGCGCAAGGAGAAAGAGAAGAAGAGGACACAAAAAGGCGAGAGAAAGCGGTAGCCAGGGAGTGTAGCTGGACCCTTCTCCTCCCTCATCTAAGATATGGCACAGCATGCAGACACACAGATTGCTCAGCAGAAGGAATCTTTTTTTTTTAATCCTTCAGCAGTATGACATAGACAAGGATTGGGGGAGAGCATGAAGGGTGAATCCTCTTTACCGTTCCCCTGAAAGAAAACAGTGCTGTACCCTTTTATTGTCCAAATATTGGACTGAGTAATTGTGGCCAACCTCTGTAACCAAAGAACTGTGTGGTAGTTCTTTTCCCTCCCACCTTCCCTACTTTTTTTGACACTTTCTACCTTTATTAACCACTTAAGGGGAAGTTGTCATATGTCTGAGTATATAAATTCTACCCAAAGGTTGCTTTTGGTTGGAGATGTTGTTAGAGAAAAATATGGTTTCTCATATATGCAAGGTACAGGAAGGAAGCACCCTTTGACAAAGCTTATGAAGATGAACTAAGTGCACCACACACTTCACCTTCCACAGCTAAAATTGACCCCAGAGTTACTGCTGCTTGTTGGGATTGGCCTAATGCATCTCTGTGTACTCTCTGCAAGGCTGTGTTGTTGCCATTTAAGTAAAGTTCTGTGAATTTAATTCGGTCTGAGGCATCATTGACTTTTTGGTCTATGCAGTTCTTTATAAACGTTTGATGGGGAAGCCACTGGCTGAAATGGAAACAAAGGAAGGACAGGTTACACTGTTCAACAGAGAAAAAGTTGTGGGCCTGAAAATAGTTGTTCTTTTATGATTTTGGGGTGCTGAAAACGAAAATGACATTTAAAAATGTATATTGGCTCTAGTTTTTATGATATAAGCAATCACGTGATCACGTATGGTTGAAAAAATGCATGTTGCGACTTACACTATGGAAGATTCTAGAATATTCTAGAAAGTTTGATGATGCAGTATTAGTGCCGTGTGCAAAAGCCAGAAAGCCCTATATAAGGCCAGACTTTTGAACGGTGAGGGTCAGTCAGTTGAAGACTGAGACAGTATCGTTAAACATCGTTTTACATTGTTCTTTTTACTGTAGTTATGCCTCGCACGTGTGTAAATAAAGCACTATGGAAAAAGATATCAAGGCAAATGGACTCCGTCAATGCTGTCAGACTACTGCTGGAGCATTGTAAGAGACAATCCTTTCCTTGAATACAAAAGAAAAGTCAAGAGAAGCAAACAGGATATAAACTAAAGTCACGATTAAAGCGACATTTAAACTTTCAGACTTTTCAACTGCATTAGGCCTACTAATATAGTTTCTTGCTGCACAAACATAAACAATAGACTAACTAAATAAATATTTCTCATGTATAAACTATTGGCAATATAATTTGACTAAAATTTAGTAAATATTCATGGTTTATATACATGCAGTAAGGTTAGGCGCATTATCATAATATTAACGAATTACCTATTGTGGAGAAAATTGAAATAGCTGTTGCATAAAAACCAGAGCCAATTAACACATTTAATTATTATATTTGAATTCAGCATGTTAAATTTATTAAGAAACTGCACATTTCGTTTCCGCAACTGAGAAAAACTGAAAATTTGTAGAACAGTGTTACCTACACGTAACAGTGTTTTCTGAATTAAATGATTGTCTGGGAATTCACAATTGGGTTTTGGCACTTTGAAGCATTCCACAGCTGAGTGATTTTTGGCAAGAATCCTGCCCTGACTCTCGCTGTGCCTGCATCACTGTATATCAGCTCCTCTCCTCAGTTCTTTTCGCCATGCTTACTGCATCTCTAGGAACGTTTTCAGTAGCTGAGTTTTTTTATCAGCACTTCTTTCAGCTTTCTTTTCTTCCTCTTCATTTTTTTTCTACTTCTGATGCCAGTTGCCCCCCCCCCCCCCCCATCTATATATATATGGCATGTGCAATCCATGGTTCTAAATGGTTCTAAAGTACTTACAAAACTAAAATTCTGGTGGTCAAAATGAGGGTGTTGCTTCTACAGTGTTGCTAAAGTTCTGGTGATGAAAATTTCAGAACTCTAACAAAACTTTCAAAATTTCATTATAAATGGCAGTTCCTAATTGGTTCTGTCATAAAAATCACCAATAATAAAATAATAATGAAATTTTGAAAGTTTTGTTAGAGTTCTGAAATTTTCACCACCAGAACTTTAGCAACACTGTAGAAGCGCCCCCTCATTTTGACCACCAGAATTTTAGTTTTGTAAGTACTTCTTGCAAAGATTTTGAGGGAACGATGCAAACAAAATCAGGCTGGAATGGACAGGTCCATGAACATGGTTGTGCAAGAACTTCTCATCTTATCTGCATAGTAGCTATGAGCAATCCATGGTTCTAAATTGTTCTAAAGTACTTACAAAACTAAAATTCTAGTGGTGAAAAGTAGAGGGTGCTGCTGCTTTGCTTCTACAGTGTGGCTAAAGTTCTGGTGGTGAAAATTTCACAACTAAGAAAACTTTCAAAATTTCATTATTATTTCATTATTTATTATTTTTATGACAGAACCAATTAGGAACTGCCATTTATAATGAAATTTTGAAAGTTTTGTTACAGTTCTGAAATTTTGTAAGTACTTTAGAACCATTGTAAGTACTTTAGAACCATTTAGAACCATGGATTGCACATGCCACATACACACACATATATAATTTTCTTTCTCCGCTCTGTTATCTGGAAGGGGCCTTCAAAATTCCCATTCAACCTATGCTCTATTTGTGGATGTTAACTGCCATTTAAATAAAGCTCTGTTGATTTAGTTCAATCTGAGGCATGTTTGAGCCTTTTGTCTATATGCAGTTCTTTATAATGTGTCTGGTGGACAAAACACGAGCTCAAATGGAACAGAGGAATTGATGACTCCAGCTACTTAAGGACAAGAGCTGTTACTAATAAAATATTCACATCCATAATTCTTTGTGGAACAGTATTTATAACAGATTTGATACAAAGGAGGGCTTCATAGAGTAGGTTAAAAACTGAAAACCTGATTGGCAGGGAGTTTTCAGGAGAGTAAAGCCAAGGTGAATTACATCTGGGGCTGGGAAGCTAAGTAAAAATATTATAAAAAAGACATATTGATGGAGCAGAGAAAATGCTTGGGGAACCATGGATTAATAAAGCAAATCGCCTATCTTTTTGGTTCACTAAAGATAAAAGTGGGTAAATTCAACAGCTTGTTTCTTGCCAGCCCCCCCCCCCCCCCGAAAACACAATTGTTTGAAATTTTGTGTATCTCTTCACTTTTATAAGTCACCGCATTTCTATAAAGGAACCCATGTGATCTCTTCAATCATCTGGAGAGGCCCTCCTCTCGCTCCCACCTCCTTCGCAGGTGCGATTGGTAGGGGCGAGGGAGAGGGCTTTCTCTATGGTGGCCCCCCAACTCTGGAACTCACTCCCCAAGGATATCAGACAAGCCCCCACATTGGCAGTCTTTAGGAGGAGCCTGAAAACGTGGCTGTTCCAGTGTGCCTTCCCTGAATAAAGGAAATAATTCCCTGCAAAATATCCTGAGAAGCACTTTAATTACCTGTTTGCATGCTCTCAACTTTTCGTTTAAAACCCTCCTACTAGATACATCCTCTGTTCGTGTCCAGCATTTATTTTTAAAGTTTTAACTATTACATCTGGCCCGGCCATAGGTTTTTAAATCCTTGTGTGTTTTGTCTATGTGTGAGTTATATTAATTGTATTGTTTATTTTGCTTATTGCCTGTTTTTTTTATTGATGTGTTGTTGGGTTTGGCCTCATGTAAGCCGCTCCGAGTCCCTTGAGGAGATGGTGGCGGGGTATAAATTTTATTATTATTATTATTATTATTATTATTATTATTATTATCTCCATAAAGGGCTAGGAAAAATTTCAGTCAATAGTTTTGCTGAGCTACTGCAAAATGTTGTGAGTGCTAAACTACATAGACCATTGAGATAACTGAATGTAATGCAATTTCCTATACTTCCTTTTGGGCAGGGCAAAAAACAAAAGGGGGAGATGTTTTTGTAGAGCCAGTTCATTTTGAACTTGCCACTTCTAGAATTGACATATAGCATAAGAGTCATGTTGGCTGGAGTTGATATTGGTGGGAGTCGTTGTGCAAAAGGATGTTTCCAACCTGTGTGCTTGTGGGCGCAAAGGTCTCCTTACAGTCACAAATACTGCTCTCTTGGACTCACTTTCTGCTATTCACTAAACAAACTCAGAACCTCATGCGGCCCTATAGGAAAAACTAGATTTCTTCTGTAGTTGAGCCTTCCATCATGATGTTCTGTTGTTTTGGACTCTTCTGGATCGGGTCCAGCTTCCAAGTGAATAGTCAGCACTGGGTTTGATGCCTGTTTAGTTGGTTATAAATTGATTGCCTGCCTTTGTTGTTGTTCATTCGTTCAGTCGTCTCCGACTCTTTGTGACCTCATGGACCAGCCCATGCCAGAGCTCCCTGTCGGCCGTCACCACCCCCAGCTCCTTCAAGGTCAAGCCAGTCACTTCAAGGATGCCATCCATCCATCTTGCCCTTGGTCGGCCCCTCTTCCTTTTACCTTCCACTTTCCCCAGCATAATTGTCTTCTCTAGGCTTTGCTGTCTCCTCATGATGTGGCCAAAGTACTTCAACTTTGTCTCTAGTATCCTTCCCTCCACTGAGCAGTCGGGCTTTATTTCCTGGAGGATGGACTGGTTGGATCTTCTCGCAGTCCAAGGCACTCTCAGAACTTTCCTCCAACACCACAGTTCAAAAGCATCTCTCTTCCTTCGCTCAGCCTTCCCTAAGATCCAGCTCTCACATCCATAGGTGACTACAGGGAATACCATGGCTTTGACTATGAGGATCTTTGTTGTCAGTGTGATGTCTCTACTCTTTACTATTTTATCGAGATTGGACATTGCTCTCCTCCCAAGAAGTAAGCCTGCCTTTAGTACTGTTTTATGTTCCCTCAGCACTGAGATGGAAAAAAATATTTTAAACAATCCCCCTCATTGCAATTATTCACATTTCTCCTCCACATCCCTACTCTTATGCGGAATGTGGGAAATATGTTTCTGACTTGTGATCAAGGCTGGAATACTGATTGTTGAAGGGGTGAAACCTTTTCCTCTCCATCCACACTTGCTACTGTACCCTTTAATTAATTGGGAAGCTTCTCTGTAGGAACCATCCTCATCCAGCAGACCGGCTGGGATTGTTCTGCTCTGTATAGAGATTGATGTCTCTGTCAACATGACTGCTCTTATCAGCTGCTCAGCAGTTGCTTGTGCTTTTCTTCATGCAGTAGCTGATCCCAGCCATCTGCTTTTGTTTTCTGCTTCCCACCCAATGACTCCCTTACAACCTTGGTTTTGTCTTCCCTGCCAACAAAGATGTTGGTGTCTTTGATTCTGGAATTGATGTAATGGGCCACATGATGTGGCATGTAATCTCTGAACTGGCTTACAGCATGAAACTACTTCATCATCTCTGTTAACTGTGTTAGATACCAGTGCTTTCCACCATGTTTACATCTGTTGTTGTGTTCACTGCACCCTAATTGTATAGATCACATTCTGTATCATCCCTGCCTCCTGTGTTTGAGAATTGGAATGGCATCCATAAATCACAAATGTCCCCTATGTCACCTCTTGATTCTACATCATCTTTATATCAATGGGTTGTTGTTGGTTTTTTCGGGCTATAAGGCCATGTTCTAGAGGCATTCTGTCCTGACGTTTCACCTGCATCTTATGGCAAACATCCTCAGAGGTAGTGAGGTCTGTTGGAACTAGGAAAAGGGGTTTATATATCTGTGGAATGACCAGGGTGGGACAAAGAACTCTTGTCTATTGAAGCTAGGTGTGAATGTTTCAACTGACTACCTTGATTAGTATTTGATGCCCCGGCAGTCCATCTGTGTTCATATTTGTGCATATGGAATATTTGTGCCAAGTTTGGTCCTGATCCATCATTGTTTGAGTACACAGTGCTCTCTGGATGTAGGTGAACTACAACTCCCAAACGAAAGGTCAATGCCCACCAAACCTAGTGTTTTCTGTTGGTCATGGGAGTCCTGTATGCCACGTTTGGTTCAATTCCATCATTGGTGGATTTCAGAATGCTCTTTGATTGTAGGTGAACTATAAATCCCAGCAACTACAACTCCCAAATGACAAAATCAAAAACAATTTGAGTGAAGGACATACATTGGGTTGTTAGGTATATGCTGTCCAAATTTGGTGTCAATTCGTCCAGTGGTTTTAGAGTTATGTTAATCCCACAAACAAACATTATATTTTTATTTATATAGACTTGAAGATTTGTTTTGTTCAAAAAACACCTATTTCTTTCTTTCTTCAAAACATGGCTTTTTCAAGGAGGGTTGGACATATGTTCTGTTAAAGACATTCAACTTGAGATACTGATATTTGGCGCCTTGAGGGGGCAATTTAACTTTTCTGAACAAACATCTGCAGAAGGTGGTATGTTGCAGTCTGTAGCTTCAAACAGATGTTTAGATTATAACACTTTAACACAGTCTTCCAGTTAAACATCACAAGGTAAAATGGCTGAAGAAACTACATCTATTAAAAATGTTAATGTCTGTGACTCCATTTTCAGTCAATATACTCTGCAAACCCCTAGCAGTTGCGCACTCAAGAGTCAACAAGATTTCACTGTGTCAAGAGATGCTATGACTAGATTTGTAAGGAACATGGCTGTGCAACTATACTGGATGGCAAGTACACTCGAAATCTTTTTTTTTTTTTCAACAAAAGCTAGTTTATTAAGAGAGAGTAAAATTAGTATAATGTTTGTTTTCATAACATGAAACATATCAATGCCAAACCTCAGCGCATCTTTGTGCAGTGGCTACTATGGTATGGTGGTATGAGTCTGCTGCCCTGTGCAATGTATTTCGGCAGCAAAGAAAGTCGTATCAGTGATCAAAATGGTCCCAACAGTTCCTGAAATCACAATCAGTCTCTTACATCATCTAAAAGCAATTTATGTGGTTTGATTACACATTGTAGCATACCAACATTCTAAAAGATGGAAGAACATAGATAATTAAAATATCCGTGTACCTAGCCAAAGGCAGATCAGTAAATTTTATCCAGACATTATACAGTTTATTTTCATGCTAGATTGTTAAAACCCAAGATCTCCTAAGCCACATAATAACGTGCTGATTTAATAAATTACCCACAGCCAATAAAAATTAATAGATTTAAGGAAAACCAAGCATCCAACAGTGCATGCTTAAGTATGCAGAAGCAAACTAAGAAAACAAAATATATACCAAACAATCTCAAACCAAACTGGCTAAACGTCAAAGGAAGTATGCTTGAGAACTACTTGATACCCTCCTTTAAAAGTAGGAAACTAAGGGTATTAAAATAATATTCATTATTTCAGTTTGCAAGGCAATTGTTAAAAGACTCGAATTATATAATTGTAATTTTGCTTACACTTAAATACTTTGAAACTGACAATATTTTATTGATATTATTTAAAATAATAGGCACAAATGATTTCAAAAGGTTTTGGTATTCCCAGACATGCATGGTTGGATAATGGCTTTACAATAATATCACTAATTTAGGAAAATCTGGTCAATTTATTTATTTAAATTTAGTTTAAGATTTCAAATCCATAAATAAGCATTTTTAAATATTTTCATTTTTTAATCTTTCTTATTGGGTACATTCAGCTGTTTTCTTCCTATCTCCAGGTACTCATTGTCTAAAGAGAACCTTCCCTCTATTGCAATCAAAACTTTCTTAATAGACTGCACACAGTAGTGTGTGACAGTAATTCAAATTCATTATTTGAAAACATTTACTAATATAATCTAAAAACATGTCACACAGGCAAAATTCTCGGTGCATATATCTGCGTTGCGGAATGGATTTAAGTTCTATTTTTAGGAGTTCAAAATATTCCAATTTTTAACCTAACATTAGATTAACCTCATCAGTATAGCAATGGGGACAGCTGTTAACACAGGCTAAAAAGCCAATAATGTTAACAGCTATTCATCAGCTAGCTGCTGCTGCACTGAAGACAAGCAGACAGTGACTTCTATGTCTCTTCTCTTTAAATTTGGACAACAAGCTTTGAAAGTTGAGTTACTATATTTCACAGTGTTCTGGAACACTGTTGTCTCATCTTAATTTTTCCTTAGTGTTTTTTGGATTCTAATTTCTGGATCATAGTATAGCTGTTACTCATATGTTCATAGGTCCTATCTTCAGGCTTGACAAGCTCCTGTAAAGTTTTCTCCATCTCAGTTGGTCCTGGTGTAGGAGTTGTTTTTGGCAAGGTCATTTGTAGAGCACACCACAGTGTAGTGCGAGCTTTGCGTGTTGCTATACACATCTCTTTAATAGCCATTGCTAGAGCAAAAACATCTGTGAGATGGGAGGAAAATACATTTTATGAACTGTGTTCAAAACCATTTGGGAGATAAAGGTACATATTTTAAGTCCAGTGACCCTTGTTCAAGAATTCCTAGCAGAATAGATGCTGGATCAGAGCTATCTTGTCTTTACTAATAATGTAATATAGTATATTGTATATACATATCATATTTATAATATTATAATGTAATACAATTTAATACTAGTAATAATAATTCAATATTATAATTATATATTTACATTACATGTAATATTACTAATAATATTACAATATAATGGCATAGTGGAATATAGTAATATATACTGATATTGTACTATGCTAATAATATAATATATTGTATGAAAATATATATTGTAAGCCGCTCTGAGTCCCCTTCGGGGTGAGAAGGGCGGCATATAAATGCCGTAAATAAATAAATAAAGCATCTGAATTCTGAATGTCACATTTTTAAAAGTCTGCAACAGATGTCACCCACCCTGTGGTTGTCTATCATGTCTCATAGAATAAGCATCTTAGAGATGCTTGATGGTCTCATTTTTTCTAATATAAATTTTAAAAGGTTAAATTGTTTCAAAAAAAAGGGATCAGAAAGGCACAAACAAGGAACTACTGGACTATGTGTAACAAGCTATATGATGCAACTCTGTATGTTGATGTAGTTGTGTAATCCCTGAAATGTCTGCAAGGTCTTGTGGTTTGTGATGAACTGATTCAACCATCAGGTGGTATATGCTAGCCAAAATAATTTGTTTGCTAGCATAACAAGCCTTACACAATTACCCAGCAGACTTCAAACCATCTGCTCCAAAGAGGTCAACATGCTGCTGAAATGTAACACTTCTTCATAAAGCTTTAGTAAATACACAGAACTTCTATTCTATGATAC